AAATTATAAGACAAATTTTAACATTGATGTGACGATAATAAAAAATTTAGATTCCTGTTTCTTCCACATAATATCCTCAGATTTTACTTCTAAAAGTGGAAAATGCTGTCTACTCAACACAAACTAAAAGCGATTTTTCTTACTGAAATTGCCTTAAAAATCCTTAAAAATAATAACATGGAATGGGACAATACTCTGAATTATTCTATTATTCAAAGTCCAACTTTTCAAAGGTACTTAAAATGTGGGGCAGACATAAAGTACAAAATATATACTGTCTTGATATATACTAAGTATTGATACGAGTATATACTAAGTCTTGATATATACTAAGTCTTCATAACATATGTACTAAGTTTTCTCCACAGGTTCTTTATATGTAAGGCATTCATAAAGAACAAAAGATATAGTCCTGACAGAATCTTTATATAGAAAGTAGGTACATATAATGACAAAATGATTTCAATGTGCCCAAACACACAAGGTTCTCCAAGCATAAAAACACAAAGCTTCACTTTTCCAGCAGATTATCAAACTCGCTCTGCTATGTAGCTGGGTGACTTATGGCATACTATCCAAGTCTACTATTAAATATATACAGGCTTTTCACAAAAGTCTAAGAAAAGTTTAAAAAGCCACGTAATACGAAACGAGCAGAACTTCTGCAAAGTAGACATTTGATAATAACATGCGATAAATCCATAGTTCCTTTGAGATATAAGTTCGTTAAGGCGTCATTATTGCATTCGAAAAGACACCCCATCAGAGTATCGATGTAAACCATTTGAATGGCTTTTCTATTTACATAAGGCTTTCCTTTTATTTGCTAATATATTATTTCAAAAGAATCAAAGTCAGATTAATCTCTAATATCTCCGAATTTGAACAAAAAATTTCGTGAGACTTTTTGAGCGATGACCGGAAATTTCAGTCGTGAATTTGTACGAAACAAGGCAATCATATGCTTTTCATTGCTTCAAATCTCGAAATATTGCAAATGGTCTGCTAAAAGACTTTAATTAATTTAGTTTAAAGTATTCAATTCAAATTTCATGAACTCTAATCTTTACCGTTAATATACAATGGTGATATATATTGAAGTCATAAAGTATTGATAAAATCCGCGGACTTCGGTTGGTCAACATATTGTCCATTATTTATGTTCTATGGAGTATTTTTAAATCAGATATACCACTTGTGCCATGTGTTTCTCAAATATATATAATGTAATGCTCAAAAACATTATCTGGAAAGAGAAAGATAAATATATAAAAGACTGTACTGTGACTGAAAGCAAAATTTGATCATCAGCAAAATATGATACATGATCCAAAAGAAGACTGGTACATTTGTATTATTGAAGAGGGAATTGCCGCAATTTAACTAATTTAAAAGAAGGGTGTTTGTGGTAGATGGTGTAAGCTATACCGCCTTGCTAAGTGCAACATAAAAATGTGTTTCATGAAGAAATAATGACTGTAATGACTGGAGCACAAAATCGGAATGCATATATAAATGCACGAATAAAAACATTAAGATAAAAATATGTATAGCTATACCATGACTAGTACGGGAGTGGGAATATGGGAGTGAAATATAGTGAATAATGCAAAAGAAGGCATTATTTTTTTGAAGGCGAACATTGGTAGTATTCGAGAGAAAAGAGCGTCAATGCTTATTTGAGGACCTTCAAGAGACCTATACTTATAGAATTATAGAATTTACCGTTTGTCAATGATCGTAATACGATTGGGTATCATCGTATTACGTACATTTTTCATTGGCCATAACAATTCGCTTCAAAAAACACGATTCCGTTTTTCACAGATGAATATACAATTAATCGATTTTTTATGTAGAAAGTTCATTTGATTTCCAAACATCGAGCGTCTTTGTATAGCCAGCTGTTTTTAAATAATTCCAACCAGTCATGTGGTTAATATTTATTGTCTCCGCTATCTCATGACAACTTGCGTCTCCGTCTTATTTAACCAATTGTAAAATTTTATCGATTTTTTTGAAGACAAAGAAAAGAATATATTTTATATATTTAACTTAATAACATATTATTTTAAATATATAGATCATGTGAATAAAAAGAAATATTTTATTTTTATACATATACAATTTATTTTATAGGTTTCGTTTTATAGATTAATTCTCATGATGATGGGTACATTGTTTTATTTTAAATAAATAGATTAAATGAAATTTTGAAAGGGATTAGAGTCCTTTGAGGATTATTGTGACAAACTCATCTTAGTTCCATATGTGTGGTAATCTCTGCAGCTTACGAAGTTTATCAATTACAGTCTTCTGTTGTGCTTTTTTGTACCAGATAGCTGACCCATAAGTTACAATTGGTCTGGCAATAGATGTGTACATCCAAAGGCTGAGTTTTGGATTAAGGCCCCAGTGCTTACCAATGAGGTTTTTGCTGGTCCATAATGCCTCTCTGGCTCTTCGTATAACATTGTCTACATGAGAATTCCACGTCAACTTCTCATCCAGAATCATTCCCAGGTATTTTACTTGGGTAACGGATGATAGCTCTTCTCCATTCAGGAATGGGTAATTGGAAAGTACTGTTTTCCTTTTCTTTGTGAAGACTAACAGACTTGTTTTCTTAGGATTTACATTTAATCCTACTTCACTGCACCATCTACTAACGATGTTCAGGGCTTGCTGGAGTCGATATGAGATCATGTCTTCATATTTACCCCTGACAAGTATGACTATATCGTCAGCATAGCCTTGTGCCTCGAAATGTTTGGCACTGAGTCGATGCAAGAGCTAGTCTACTGCAATTGACCACAGGAGTGGGGATAATACACCCCCTTGTGGGCATCCTCTTACAGTATGTGCTTTTATTTCGGCATTGCCGAGAGTGGATTTAACCATTCTATTTCTTAGTACATTGCTTATCCATGTGCGTGTCGTATCATCTACTCCTCTGTCATGGAGGCATCTTTCGATATGTGAGGGATCAGTATTGTCAAACGCTCCCTCAATATCAAGAAAGCATCCCACCGCAAATTCTTTGCAATCAAACACAGAATGCATTCTGCTATTTTTCCACTTCTTCGTGAAAAAATCTGTAGCTATCGTGTCCCTT